AGTGATTACTGAGAGAAAACTAGCATTCTGCTAACCAAAACATACACAAGTTTGTTAGTTAATAGATAGATTATCCTCGCTGCACATAGAACATATACAAGTTTGTTAGTTAATCGACAGTTTATCCTTGCTGCACACAGAACATACACAAGTTCCCATTAAAAAAATATTCACGGAGCTGAGCTTAGTTAAGAACCTACATCAAAACACTTGGGACATTTCCATATACACTCTGTTCTCATCTTCAGCAGCCAGCAAAGAATTCAAATTCTGATGGTACCACAGTTTGATTGTAGATCCATCTTGCCGTTCCTCTGATATAAAGAGACAATCTATTTACAAGTATCAACAATCATTTAGATTTCGAAGGGTGATGGGATATATTTACCCAAGCTATTTTGCAGACAATCAATGCCTGTTCTACAATGAAGGGAGTAGACTACAAGAACAACTGAACAGGCTAAGTTCAACATGCAAAAGATATAACATGAAAAAAAAAAGAATACTTAAACTGAAGTAATACAGGTCAGCAGAATTCCTAGTCTGCTATATATCGGGTTAAATGTACTTGTACTTAAAGAACTTAAATATCTAGGAAGTATATTCTTGGAGGATGTCACATTAGATCAGGAAATAGAAACAAGATGCCAATGAACCAGTGCACTTTTATACCAAGTGACACCATTATGTTGAATGTTGAATGAAGAATCGACATCATAGCACTCTGGACACCCCCATAAGCGCTCTGTCCCCATCTTCAGCAACAAATGAAGAGTTCCAGTTCCAATGGCACCAGTAACTGTCTGATCACATATCTATCTTGGCTTCCCTTGTGCGTTGAGTGTCAGCCAGAGCCCCTGGTAACTCCTCGCAGCGCCATTCTCCTCAGGCCGTAATGATCTATCTGCACTTCCGCACTGTTCACTCGCTCCCAGAGGGCACTCACAATGTCTAGCTTGTCATACATCAATTCACCACCAGTCTATCTGCCTGTTCCTTTCCTAACACACTGGCATGACCTGGAGAGAATATCCAAAATATACTTATTAACCGGGACCTCTGAAGTGATGCTTGCCACTCTGCACGGAGCATACCTGTCTCCCAACTTTCTCAACATGCTCTGTGAGTCAGTAACAATCATGGCTTGTGTGTACAGCTGATTCTCAAGCCAGCTGAAGGCAGCAGTGACTGCCTCCACCTCCATTCTCAAAGTAGATGTTGTGATATCATATGCCAGGCTATGTTGCACTAAGCGACGTCCATTCGCCTTTGCCAGTCCCTGCACTCACGACCCAAAGTGATAAGAACCCTGCACAAGTCTGAAACTTGCTACGATAATTTGACCCACTCATCACCTTTCACAAATTTATCAAGCCTGCACACATGTTTGTTTGTGTCTTCAGCCTGCACCATCCAAGACCTTCCTCTTTTCAGTTTGTGACCCTTAGCTCTACCCAGAGCTTCATGCAAGAGGTGCTTCTTATCTGCAGCTACTCTGGGATATGACTTTGCCTCTAGAACTTTGAGTCTATCTGCAATAGTAGGAAGTGCAAGTATATATATTGCAAACATACAACCGGGATATCTCTTGTACATCCCTGAATTACCCACATGGCTTCATTCTGTATGCGTTCAAGTGTCATCAGCTGACTCTTTGATATAGTAAGCATTAGAAGTCCATAATCTATCACTGCTAGGATCACATGCTGGAACAATGTAAACAGCATTCTTTGTTCCATGCCCATTGCTGCCATAATCTTGAGTGCATTGGGTTTTTTTTGGCATTTCACCACAACTGCCTCGAAGATGGACTGATAACATTAAAGAGCTTCTACACTGATGTGGAATGATAATAGCCATTGCTGCCAATAAAGTTAATAGATCGCATACTGTTCCTCCCCACAATGCTTAATGGCAGAAGTGGAAACTGATGTTGATGATGGGATACATTTAACTGCTGTTACTTATACCCTTAAGTTTATAAATCGTAACTGTAAAGTGAAACTTTATTCATTAGCCGTCCTTTGAAATGGAGAGATCCTGAGTTGGGTATATAAGCCTGACTTCACACAGAATCTGGGCTGAATATCATACCAAAATACAGCAAAATGGCAAGTCAATAATAAATAGTCTTGTGAACATGAATGAGCTGTTAATCTGATAAGAGTTACTGGTTTAGTTACTAGTTGTTAATCTGGTTACTAACTGAGAAAATAACAATGATTCAAGGTTGAGTTGAAGAGCCCACTTCTGACTGAGCAAGCATGTATGCTATAGAAGCTAGAGTGCATATTCATATCAGCAAATATAGTTTTCCCTACAAATGGTAAAGTGTCCTCTGTCAAATAAATGCCTTCTAAAAGTTTGAAAACACTGTCTTATATTTTAAGTATTCACTGTATATTCAGAAACATAACAAATGAAGCTTGTTGACAAAACAATCCTGATTTCATATAAAAAAAATGACACCCTGACATTTTGTGAAAACAGTATTAATACCTTTAACAACAATAACAACAACCACAGTATTAATCTGAAATCTATGATCACCACTATCTCTGAAAACTTGGATCACATACTTGTCTCATAATCATATCTATATTTTCCTCTTCATACAGCAAAAATAACATTCTTGAAACTGTCAACTTTTCTAATATCCACCTTTTCTTTTTAATGATCCAATATTCCACAAACTAAATGAACAGATTACATACCACAGATTCTTATAATACCTCAGTTATGCCAAGAATATTCCTATGATTCCTGAGCTGTATCATAAAGCTTAACTTAAGAGTGTATTCTAATGATACATAAATTACTTCATAAAGGCCCCTGTAATACATTAGAATTCCCATCTTCTTCTTCTTTTTCTTTTGTCATCTCATTGATACCAGGTTGTAGCCCAGTGTCATGGTTTTCTGTATTTGTCTTTCACATCTCGAGTGGCTTGGGTGACCGATTTGTTTATCTATTTTGCAGGTTTCAGCTACATCATTTATCTATCTCTTTCTTGGTCTTCCTCTCATTTCCTCCCTGATGTTCTGCCGTAAAAAAGTCTCATTTGCAGTTTGGTCTGGTTAAATTCTCATTAGATGGCTGAACCAATTCATTCTTTGTAACCCTGTCTCTTCTTGTGTAGTAAGTGACCTTGTGTAGACAGCACATTTCACATGTAGTTATTTTTTTGTTCTAGTGCCCTATTCATTGTCCATGTTTGGTACTGATAGAATAAAGTAGGGATGAAGAGATAATAACTATTTGCTGCTTTGCTGGAAGAGAGACATCTGCTTGTCTAAACAATTGGTTTAACTGGAAGGTGAAAGCATTTGCCTTCTGTACTCTGGCTTCTATTTTTCCATTGAGTATGCCATCCTCCTCATGGAGATCTTAATGATACATAAATGACATCTTGAAGATCTTTATTATATATGGGCTTTATCATTTTATCATGAAGACCATTGGAATACCTCAACTACGTATGAGATTCCTTATGAAATATCAGCAGCGTGCATTAATTTGGATCCTGGCACCTTCTGTAACATGACAAAAAAGCTGTCAAAAATCGTCTCTTGTTATGATCCCCTACCTCTTTAAATATCTCCTAAACTAACAGTATGCTCAAGGTTTTATCTTTTCTTCTCCTTCTTCTTCCAGTCCATGAAATCTGGTATTGTAGTCTTTCCACAACCTTCTGTTGAGCGTACTTTTAATAAATTCTGGCATAGTGATCTTTAATGTCGAACAGTCCAGCATCTTTTTTCTTATCCTCCCCCACCTTTCTCTTTTCTCTTTTCATGTGGCTGGAAATGACAACTGTTTCTTTCTAATTTGTGTGTTAAGTTGTCTTTGTGTCTAAGTCTATTTCAAACATGACTTTTATGTTTTTAATTTATTTTGTCCAAGGACTTTTTAAGCATCCATCTGTCAAACCACATCTGCAGGAATTTTTTACTTGTTTATTAATTGTCAAGGATTCAATCTTATGTTAACTGTCAGTATACTATACAAGAATTCTTTTTCTAACTTGTTATGATGAATTTATTTAACAATACCTAGATTTGATAAGGAAAGCCAGCTTGGTGTAACATCTAGACACTTGTCTGCAGTTTCAAAGGTTGTGGGTTCAGGTCCTGAAAAAGCCAGACTTTTTTTTTAAAAATGACCTTGGCTCCCAGGTCAGTTCAACCCACTAAGTGCTGATTTGTCTAGATCCCTAATTGCCCAATACCTCTAAAGACAGGTAAAATATTCCTATACTTTACTTTTATATTTGATAAAATTCAGTTCTTGCTTATCCTATGCTATTTTATATCTTGCATGATCCATGAACCATACCATGAATATTCCTATATGTGAACTGTAGAACAAAGATCTTTACAACATACAAATAAACTATATATACATATTTCTTCATCATCAAGTGCCTTGCCAGCTGGCATAGGCGTTCATGCGTCGCCACAGTTCTCAGTCTTGGGTGTTCTGGATCAATTCTGCTGATGATATTCCTCCATGCTAGTGTCTTAAGCAATCCACCATCATTTCTCTTGGTCTGCCTCTGCCTCTTTTACCAGTTATCTTTCCAGTTGTCATGATATTTTTCAGTGTTCCATTTCTTATTACATGACCAAAGAACTTTGTTTGTCTCCTTCTCATTGTTGTATATAATGTTCTACTTTTATTATAACTTCCAGGCATTCATTATTGATTATTCTGGCAGTCCAAGGTTTTCTCAACATTCATATATATATATGAACTGTGTAATGAAGGTCTTTATGATACATAAACAATATTATGATGATCTTTATGTTACATAAAGAGCCACATTCTCAAACAGATCATTATAAAACATTTCTCATGCCTGCTATCACTTATAATCTGTTGTGTTTGAGGATTCAGTCATACGGTAACTGTTCATGTCACTTGTAACACATCAGTGTAAAACAAATAGCAAATACTATGGAGCCGTGAATACTTAAAGAAATAGCTTTGATTCTCATATTTTACACTTCTGTTCCTTCATGTAATAACCTTTCCCTCGCCTGGATCTCTGACCGATGATTAGAACCTTGAGTGCGAAATTTAGGAATGTTGTAAGAGAGAGGTTTCTGGTGATGCCTTGAATCATCATCTGGAAGTGTATCTGGGGTCATGTCATCTTCAGTGATCTCTGGCCTTGATTCGGCTTCATATCCTGAGTCACCATTACATTCTGCAGCATTGGCCATGTGATTTGAGCCAAGCGGAGAATATGAACCCTCTAGTAGATCAGCCTTCTGTGGAAACCAAAATGTAAACCATATAATATAAATTTTATATTGTACACATGTAGTATAAAGCGCTCTCCCTATTTTGGTTCTGTGAAAAAAGTGAAAAGATGTCTAGGTCTGAGTTCCAGGCCCTGAGTCAAATTGTGCTTTCCTATTATTTTTCTAGGATAATCGGCACCTAATGGATGTGTCCAAATAGTGTCCTATATAATGTGTTTACACATCATACCAGATAATGTGTTCAAATATCATACCAGATAATGTGTTCACACATCATGCCAGACAATATGTCCACACATCATGCCAGACAATGTGTTCACACATCATGCCAGACAATGTGTCCACACATCATGCCAGACAATGTGTCCACACATCATGCCAGACAATGTGTCCACACATCATGCCAGACAATGTGTCCACACATCATGCCAGACAATGTGTCCACACATCATGCCAGACAATGTGACCACACATCATGCCAGACAATGTGTTCACACATCATGCCAGACAATGTGTTCACACATCATGTCAGACAATGTGTTCACACATCATGTCAGACAATGTCTTCACATATCATGCCAGACAATGTGTTCACACATCATGCCAGACAATGTGTTCACACATCATGCCAGACAATGTGTTCACATATCATGCCAGACAATGTGTTCACACATCATATCAGACAATGTGTTCACATATCATGTCAGACAATGTGTTCACATATCATGTCAGACAATGTGTTCACATATCATGCCAGACAATGTGTTCACACATCATGCCAAACAATGTGTTCACACATCATGCCAGACAATGTGTTCACACATCATGCTGGATAATGTGGAATGGCAAGATTGCATTTCTTGTCGAAGGTGTCCTTGATTTCTTGTGAACATCTTTATGGTGTTCAGCCCCTGCTCATCTTGCCCAGTACCATGCTCTCTGTTACTATTCTTTTTAATCCAACATAATTTTCTGATTGTAAACAAATTTTCTTGATGTTCACATTTTTCTGGAATGGCAATGTTTCTTTTCTTCTTGGTCCATAATATTCTAAGAATCTTTCTTTACCATTTCAGCTCAAATCATATGGTTGTGAGATTATAGTTAAGGATAAAAAGTAACTTGACAAAACAGATATTGATTTCAGTTCTCTATGACATAATAAACATTCATCAAACTATTTAAAAGCATAAATATGTTTTAAAATATGATGATAGTGGCTGATTAACTGCTGGTCAAATTAGTTAGTTAGTCGACAGATTATCCTCATTGCACGTCAAACCACTCAGTCCAAAAGTGTTCGGATCCCCTCCTCAGTAAATCCCGCAGCGTGTAATGGCTAATGACACCAGTTCTGTGTTGGTTTATTCTTCTTCTTTGACTACCCGCGTAGTGTACTTGTTTGGTGACACCCCGTTTAACATGTTGTTCTTGCAGTCTGACCATGGTTGCAGATTCACAGTTCTCAGTTGGTTCACACAAATGTCTTAACTCTCTTAGAGCATTCAGTATATCAGCCTGGTCCATGGCTTGTCCGGTTTTCACAGTAGCTTTACCTGCAAGATTATCAGCTTGCTCATTTCCTTGTACCCCCACATATCCTGGCAAGAAAATGAAACTAATCCTTGTCAGCCGTGTATTCTGTAGAGCCACCAACCACTGCCTTCGGACCCAGCCCTTCTCTATCTTCCTGAGGATACTCATTGAGTCACCGAAAAAGCATGCTCCAGTGAAAGTGTCTCTAACCATGTTACTGCTTTAGTCACAACCATGACCTCCATAGTCAGACTACTTGTAGTTACGGCAAAGGCTCCAGAATCTTTCTTCACAACTCTCCCTCTAAACTGAACCGTGAAAGCCCACAAGCTTCGAACGAGGCGGATTACAGAACCATCTGTGTAAATGACAGCATCACCCTCTAGAGCAGTCTCGAAAATCAAGGCTTGAACTTCTGCTTCCATGGCAATTGTCTGCAATTTCTGTCTAGTTGCATGCAAACAGAAAAAGATGTACAGCCCTCTGAAGGCACTTGCACCCACTCCTCACTGGGTTCTTTGTCCTCAAGGGAACATACCTGATCTGGTCAAAATCTGTTTAATATGTTAACTGTAAACAATTATAAAACAATCTTTCAAAGCTTTGTTTCTGGAGTAATTGTCAAGTCATGATTGGCATTAGTAATTTGATGCTCACTGCTACAGATTATTCCTAACTGGCAATAATAATTTTAAAATCTTTGCATCAGATTAACTTGTTGAAATGTTCACATGTCACCAGTGTGATGATATTAATCTCTGTTATGGAAGCAAACAGTTGTTATCTTACAACCTTCTATTCTCACAAGAGATGATTCACAACTGTTGTTGACTAGCTTCCTTATTCAATAGAAAACTTGAACAGCTTATTCAAGTTAGTCATGAACAAGACTATATCAGTTTGTAGAGAGCCTGTATTTCATTGAGAAATCAAAGGCAGCAGAAGGGAGTAACAGAGCCAATTTAAGTGGCGTTTGGTACACTAAGTGTTATTATTTTTGCCATCATAAGTGGCAGACAGTATACTTAAAGACAAATGAGATCCTCTAATGTATTTAAGGACCAATAAAAAAACTAACTGCACACGTATCAAAAGGTGAATATTATTAACAACTCATCCTTCTTTAAAAACAAGTTTTAATTTTACTTATATTTACTGAAGTATTCTGGCCACATCAAATGGTGATGGATTGTGCAGTTTGTGGAAAGCGAGGCAGGGGTCGAGCTCTACAAAGATGGATACAGGACATTGAAGATGAATTGGCATTGAAAGAACATGGGGCTGGAGAGCTGGCTAGGGACAGGGATACTTTTAGGCTTATTACTGGCTTATTAGGTATATGATGCTAGATAAATATTTTTATATATTTACAGACGAACTTCAATGGATAATGTTGTCAACACCCTGGCAACCATATTTACTTTCCATGACACTTCCTGGAACCCATTTTAGACTTGGTCGACATGTGAGCCAAGGTAAATTTTTCCCCGAATCCACCCAAAGCAGATTCGAACCCAAGACTTTTGAGTCAGCAGGCAAACAGCTAGCCAATGCACTGCCATGGCTCTCATTTGTTCAGTGGGAGAAGATAAAAGCACATATGGAGGTAAACATGAGCAATGATAAAGATTAATGACCAAAAACCAAACCATTGTATATAACTAGTATAATCATATGCCTTTCATGCTAGGTCAATGTAGCGATTAACTCTTTCAGCCCCTGCACGTACCACTTAACTTGTTGATTCCTAAGTATCTTTTACATACAGTAATAGTTGTTTAGATCTAGAGGGGTTAAAATAGCCACAGTAAGCAATTATAAGAATAAAGTAAAGTAACATTTGGGTTACCACAGGTTATTATAAAAGCTACTTGGAATAAAAAGTATTTAGAAGAGGCATATCATGTGAAGAGTAACCAGTAAACCATATGGTGAGTTGGCCAGAAATAAATAAATTAAAATTTCTTATATTTATATTAAAGGCTCCAGTAAAATCATTTAAGACTCCCTCAGTATGTTGGTGAATGCTGTATGTAGTAAAATCAGCCTTGCATATACTGAGGATAGTGCACTTGATATGAGAATGTGTCATGACTGCTATAACACAGTCACTTTTACAGCTTTGTAACATAGCTTTCAGACAGTCTTTAAGCTTTTTATGTAGCTGCAGTGTTACATGTTAAAATATGTTTGTTAAGTTAAATGATTTTCCTTTGATAATCTGGAGTGTCTCAGAAGACAAACACAAATTATTAAACATCATAACAATAAGTAAACAATTTAATGAAATTTAAATATGGAAAGGAAAATATGAAAAATAAATTGAGTTTATTACTGAAAAGGAAATTAAATCAGGCAACGCTGAACATATAAAGGAAGCAGCACTTACATAAACAGAAAAAAAAATATTTATGACAATTAATAAGCTTGAAACAACAAATAGTACCAGTTAAACTATAGCAGCTTACATAAATATATGATTATTTTTATACACTGTTGGTGTGATACTGACCATATCACCCACCAAGTGCCAACTGGTCTATTAAAAATATAAGTTTAGCTCTATATGCCTGCTATTCCCGAAGGCATGGAAAAAGGAACCTTTATTTACTTTTATGTACACTGTTGTATGACAAAGCACAAATAAAGATCATATTAATAAATATATTGGTATCATCAGATTATGAGCACAGACAGTTTTTATCTAATAACAGATGTGCTTTTTTCTCATAAATTATGAGTTAAAAGACACTAATTAAAAAAGTTAACAAGCTCATACAAAGTGGATGAAAGGTATTTAAATGGCCTAGCCGGAGAATTTGATGTAGGAACAATGCAATAAAATGTCAACAATTTTTACACAACTAAAAGGAATTATATTAAGGGAAAAAAAAAAAACAAAAAACAGATGGGCTGATATAAATAGTCATAGAAAGGTTCTCAGCAACATAAATAATCAAACAAATGAATGGACTGCACTTTTCCAGAACTTCTAAATGTCACAAAAAGCTAATTTTAACACTTCAGCTTAATTACTGCATGAATTATTTAGTAGAAAACACAAAATGAATAAATACAAGCAGACTGTAGAGAACAATATAGAGTCAATATGTCAACAACAAAAAAAGCAGACCTATTACTGAATAATTTTCATTTCTTGGGAAAACATTCAGCAAGATTATTCTGGAAAGATTTAGAGAGATAAATGAAGGAATGAAGGGCATGCTTCTAAAAAAAAAAAAAATTTGATGCCACACTGTTTTACAATAGTGCATGTTGTGAAATGAATCCATCATTATATGTAGGATTTTTAGGGACAAAGAAAAGAAAGAAAAGTCTGTTGACTTCACTGACAGAGAATCACCTTTCAGAGTATGACCTCGCATCCACATTATGAGAGGTGGTAAACAGGACAAAAAGAGGGGAATGCTAGGATTGGGCACAGTACTGTATGGCCTTATGCCGTAGAT